AGAGGTGTGTTTGTCTGTGAGCCTGTTCCTTGGCACCATCCACCTCACAGAGGAGAGGACAATGTGTGCTGCTGATTCATGGCACCCTTGCTGTTGACAGCCCAGCATTGGTCACTGTGACAGTGGTGGTGTGTACAGTAGAGCCAGCTTCAGTCCTGATGGCCCTAGCGTGTGCTCTGAAGGAAAGTGGGTCCAAACTGTTGCCAGCCTTGGGGTATCTAATCAAAATATCTGCTTGGTCTCTCTTCCCAGGAGGACTCAGCGGTTTCAAGCAGAACCATGAAAACCTCTGCGATAACTCCCTCCAGCTGCAAGAGTGCCCGGAGGGGGGAGGTGGCGCCTCTGCTGTGCCCCCCATGCTACCTCAGTCCATCCCTACCACACCAGACATCGAGAATGCTGAGCTCACCCCCATCCTGCCCTTCCTCTTCCTCGGAAATGAGCATGATGCTCAGGACTTGGAGAAAATGCAGAGGATGAACATAGGCTACGTAATCAATGTGACTACCCACCTGCCCCTGTACCATTATGAGAAAGGCATATTCAACTACAAGCGGCTCCCGGCCACAGACAGCAACAAGCAGAATCTCAGGCAGTATTTTGAAGAGGCTTTTGAATTCATTGGTAACTATCCTTGACTGGAAATACTTCTGCTTGTTTCTTTTATTTTTACCTGTTGTAAGAATTTAGAGTGAATTTCATGCTTCGCCAACTATTCTGAAGGCTGCGTAAGGCCATATTTACTTTTGTTTAGGTTGTCAGAAATGCTGAGCACCTCATGTTTCTATTCTTTCTGATCTCTGGCATATCCAGTTAAGTAGCCTGGGGTTACAATTTTTTCCATTTATAGTGATGCCTACCTCCAGGCTTCTAAATTCAGGAAACCCCAGAATATTGAGACTTTTGTCATTCCCTTTTCTTGATGCCTTTGCATTCCTAGTTTCCACAGTGAATCGCAGCCAATTTTTCATAGTAACTATTCTTAATAATGGCTCAGTCTTTCCTAACTTAATGAGAAAACTGGCAAACTTCACACTTCACTTGTTTCCACAGTTAGATTTATAGCTTCAGAGTGTGTGGTTGAGTGGATGAAAACTTGTATTAATAAGCCTCTAAACCCTGTAGGCTGTGTGAGAGAGTTTACTACAGACATGCAGCTTGTTGAGGAGATTGCTGGAGAAATGACCCAGCAATGTTTCCCACATTGTTCTGAACCTTACTGTGACCCACACAGCACAACGCTCAGCCAAGTTTAGGGGCGCACTCAGCTCTGGTTGCAAGGCTGGTCAGACAGGACTTCAGCATGTGATTCTGAAAGCTTTTGAGGCCCTTCCCTTGTCTCTCTAGATGACTTTGTGGATGCTGCTCTTGTGGCATAGCAGATGTTCATCTGTGCTTCCTCAGCACAAGTACATCTCTTGAGAGGTTTTCTGAAATATGCTAGAGGACCACTGACATACAATTTTGTTTTCTTGTGCTGAGGCTGAGCTAATCTCTTTACCAATACTTCAGGCTCAGTGGGCTAGACAAAGGATGTGTGCTTCTGTGCTGCATCACAGCTTAGGTCCTTGACTGACCTCATGCTGAAGTGGGTACAGAGCCATGTTCCTCCCTGCCCTCAGACCATCAGTGTTTATGGCCCTTGAGTCAGGTGGTGCGCTCACAGCTCTTGAAACTCAAGCCTGCTTGTGCTGGCTCCGTGGAGGTGCTCTCAGGCTTATAAAGGATTGGGCCCCAGTTGTGGGACTGGGTCCCAGGGTAGAAGGTCCAATCTCAGCATGTTCTTCTGACCCCATCCGCCCCTGCCACTTGCGTGGGCAGGACTGGCAGCTCTGAAGCAGACAGCTCATCAGCCTTGCCTGGCTATGTTTCGGTTGGCAGGGGGTCATCAAGTGCTGATGCATGTAGTCTGTAGCCATGCTGCTTTAGTGAAGAATAGAGAAATCACTGGTTATGCTGCGGTTCAGATGGAGTGCGGTATTATAGCCTGAGTCCTATCTCTGGGATCTTCTACCCTTGGGCTTGTCCTCTACAGTGTGGAGTACCAAAGGATCTCTACTTAAAACCCAATTTTCCCTAGTGTTCCTAACTCAGCTCTACCAGAAGAGCTGTCAGCTCCCCAAGGTGCTGATGACTATGTGCATGGGAAGATGAACCCCCCTTTTTGGGTGAAGAGCAGGGGAGAAGGAACCTTGCTTTGGTCCTCTGGGGAAAAAAGACTGTCTCAAGAAATCGACTGAAATCTTAAACTTTGAGTTCAACAAAATGGGGGAATGCAATAGGCTAAGCTTATGTAGAGACTGCAAAGCTCCATTGAGGTCCATTGCGGGTAGGAGGGAGACTTCTGCACCCAGCATGTCTGTGCACTGTAGGATTAGAGCTCTCAAAACCACTGAAAAGATAGTGTTTGGTTTGTGACCTTACCAAGGGCAGAGAAAGTAGCTTTGCTCTGAAAAGATTTAGAAAGTGTTTCAAATTTTACTTTGCTTTTTAATGATTACAACTTGAGGGTCTGTCTTTGTTTTTAATAAACAAATATTTCTCCATTGAGAGTTTTTCTCCATAGCAAATTTAGCCAGCTGGGGAAGTAACTAGTCAAAGCTTTCCCTTTCCCAGGGTGAACTTTAAATTGCATTTGAGAAGATTTGGAAATGTTTAAACAGCAGATTGTTGGCCTGTATTTCTTTAAATATGTCTTCAGAAAATCACAACCAACCCCAGGCTTAACTAAGACTAGAACCATAGAAAGTGAAATCATCAGAAACTCCCTGGGAAAGTGTGTCAAAATGTGTTAGAGTTTCAGCTTTCTGAAATACTATCTGGCAAAAGTGTCTAGAGGGAAGTTGGCTTCCTTTATGCTTCTGCAGTACAGGTTGAACATGTGGGCTGTGGGATGAACTGTAATTTTCCTGGAGTTGGCTTTGTGCCAAAATTTGCAAACGGTGTTCACTCTCCTGCAGATTAAAACAAAAGAAATAGATTTAAGTGTTGTGTCTTGCAAGTTTTCTTTCCTATTTTAAAAGCAAGCTGTGGGGGATGAGGACGGTATGGTAGTGGCTCTCCTCTTTCTCATGGCCTGTTAGCAAAGACTCTGTCCTCCCTGAATCATGTCCAGGTTGCCTCTCTTTTAAGTGATCTTGAGGGAGAGTATGTATGTGAGTGTGTACGTGTGTGTGTGTGTGTGTATATCCAGCTGCTGCTTTTGCAGAGACACCACAGCAGAGTGCCTCACTGAAGCTCATTTCAAGAGTAGCTTTGTAAGGCCTTCAAAGGACAGAGCTTTGAAACAGAGGTATTGTTACAAATTGAATCTGAAAATAGCTTTTTTTTTTTTTTTTTTTTTTTTTTTTTAAAAGGTGGTGCCCTGCTCTGAAAGACAGGGAGGTTGAGATGCCAATGTAACACAGTGGCATTGCAACAGATGTGGAAAGGAAGCCCGAGATGCCTCATCATGGGCCTTGACCTCCTAAATAAATGCTCCCTGACAGCGCAGCAGCATCTCTCAATGTGTTGCTCATCTAATAAAGAGATAAAAGTGGACATGAGGGCTTTCTGTGTCAGACTGGACTGGTGTTTCACATTCAGTAACTCTGAAACCTCAGAGGAAGATGGGCTGGAGGGGAAGGGGGGGATACACTGCTGTGCTTGTAGTCAAATCAGGGGACTTTTCACAATAAGTTACTCTTAATTGCACTGAGCTTGTTCTAATTTACACACTGGCAAAAATCTTACTTTCTTCTGTTTCTCATTTCCAGAGGAAGCTCATCAGTGTGGAAAAGGTCTCCTCATCCACTGTCAGGCCGGTGTCTCCCGATCTGCCACCATAGTTATTGCATACTTAATGAAGCACACACGCATGACCATGACGGATGCCTATAAATTTGTAAAAGGCAAACGACCAATCATTTCCCCTAACCTTAACTTTATGGGGCAATTACTGGAGTTCGAAGAAGATCTAAACAACGGTGTCACACCGCGAATCCTCACACCAAAGTTGATCGGCGTAGAGACCGTCGTGTGATGGTGGAGCTGCGAGGAGGCAGTTAGTGAAGGGGCTAACCTAGTGATGAGTGGGCTGTGGGTTTTTCTTTTTAACTTTCAAGGGGAGTTTTGTGGCAAAATTTTTGTGAATAAAAACCTTTTTTTTTTTTTTGTGCAAGGAAAGGTTTTTAAAAGATCCAAGAACTTTGCTGGGTTTGGGATGCTGTTGTGATATCCTTCTCAGACACTGGCAGAACAGGGAGGCTTTGGAGCAAAAGGAGTACTTTTTAAAATCAAAACAAGAAGAAATATTTTGCTTTTTTTCTTTTTATTTTTTTCCCGTCCTCTCCAGTTACTTGTAGAGTTTATGGCTAAGTAGTCTGTGCAGGTTCATAGACTGAAGAAACCTAAGTTGGAGATGAAACACAAACAGCAAAAACAAAGAAAAGAAAGCCCTCCCTGAAACATAAGGGCCTTCATTCTGCAAAGGCTTTGCTAAAGATAACCTAGCAAAATGCTCACCAATGCAAAGGAAGTCAGGGCAGCTTAAAAAGTCTACAAGGCACTTCTCACACCCCTGACTCAAACTAAAGAAGAAAACTAAAATTTATTGATGTGTTTCATGTTCCAGTTCTATTTTTCTATTTTGGGGTGTAAGGTTTTAACAGTAAGGGACTTCGATCATTCTATGCCATATGCCTTCACTGGCTTCTTGTGCAATAATAATTTGGGGTTTGTTTTGTGTGTTCAAACTGATTAGAGTTGGCTGCCCACTAATAATAGGGTAATAATTTTTAAAGTTTAATAGTGCAATGGCAGCTGGCTTGGTTCAGAAAGGATAAGTGAGAGCAATTAATTTGTTCCTTTATATGACTTTGATCCTGGTTACAGTGCCATAAACCTTGTTATGTATGTATATCAGAATGTACAAAAACTGAGAATGAGCAAAGTTTATTTAAAAATATTTTTCGCACAAAATATTGGTGTGTTTCAGTTGTTTATGTAAAAAATTTGATTATAAACCAAAAAAATCTTTTGGAAAATGTGTGTCCTTTTATTTCTTTAGCAATTATTCATTTTCTGTTGAATGAGGTTTTTGTTTTGTTCATTTTGCTTTGCTTTTTTTTTTTTTTTGTGGCTGTGTACATCTGCCTTTGACAAAATTGATATCTCTTGTTTGACATCTCCTCTTCAGTGTTTCATTCCTGTCCACTTTCTACTGTACTCTTGCATCCTTCAGTTTCTGTAACCAGATTTTTCTCTTCTGTTCAGCTGAATTAGGACTATTAGTGAGGAGCCATTGGGGCAGACCTGTTATTTCTACAGCTCAGTAGCCACTTGGAAAAACAAGAAATAAACATTCTTCACTTATTCCTTTTCATATTCCTGTAATTAGCTTATCTTCTATGTTACAAAATTGTCTGGTTTCTAGAAATACATTGATCATGTGTGCGGTTTTCCCTGGTCTCTCTATAGACCCCTTATTTAGCAGTTCCACAATTCCTGGGAATCCTCCTCCTGGGATTCTCCTCTCTTGCCCATCTTTCCTCATCCCCCTCCTTTTCCAGCTGTGTCAGTGTTAAGTGTGGTGTGTATTGTAGGGCTGCTGTTTCTGCCTGACGGTGTCACTTAGGTGGCTGACTTTTGCTTTCCTTGTTTGTATTTACTTTTCTTTTAATGATATGGTATAATCTGATCTCTTCTGGACTGTTACCAACTCTAAAGTTTGTTTGTATGAGCCTAAAGCAAGTTAGAAAACATTTCTCATATGATTCTGTTGTGCAAACTGATCTATCCCAGGAAGTCTGATAGCAGTGAAGGTTTTTCATAGATGAAAACCAAGATTGACTGAACCAAGTGTAAAACAGGACCTGTCAGAAAAAATGTATAATCACATTAGACATGTATATTTTTGTGGACATTTTACTTAAAATGTTGTTACTATACAGATATTTTCTTGAAACTTATCCCTTTATTAAATTATTTTTCTACTGGAGTTGATTTTTTTTATATTTTTTCCTTTTCTATTATTCTTATTGGTCCTTTTGCTGAAACTCCCTCAGCAGTGAGTGTTGCCCAGGCAGCAAAACCTCTTGGATTATGACTGTTCCTGGAGCTAAGGAGAGAGTGGCTGGACGGAAAGGTAGCATTTGCTGGTTGGGAGCCATTGTGCTTTGGGAGGAAGGAGGTCCCTTAGCAAAAGTGCTCTGCTTTCCTCTTTCTCCCCTTTCCTTGTGTTTGGGCCCAACTTCTTCCAGCTGTTCTCCATGAACTGCAGGTACCAATTGTTTGATAGGAGGGAGGAGGTTAGAAAACCTTTGTTTGTTGCCAGAGAAGCAAAAGCAGCTGCAGAAGGGCTGAGGGCTGGCTGAAAAGTTGGTCCTTGCAGCCTGTGTTTGTGGCCATAAGTGTTGTATAGTAGTGCTGATGCCAGGGAAACAGGTTATTCAGCAAGGACTCAGTGTGAAGGGAAGGAGGACTTGATTCAAAACCGATCTTCCACGTTACTGTTCTTGTTCCTGTTCTAAATGGCCTGATGTGAACATCTTGAGAAGTATGCACTGACATGACTCATAGCATCCTCTCTGGTTCGGGCTCAGCCACCGATATGCTGCCATGGATTACGATGAAGTTTGCAGCCATGTAAGTACTTGTGTTAAGTGCTTACTTAAGCCAACAGGTAGCCCTCGCAGCCTTGAGTAAGTTATTGGCAGGAGGGGATCTGATGTGTTTGCCTCAGTAGGGCTGAGCGGCGCAACTGCTGCTGCATGCATGGATGTAGAGTTGGAGTTTCTGCTGCAGGAACCCCATCAGCCTCTCTGCTTGTCATGGTGAGAAGCAATGCCTGATTTTGCTCTCCAGTGTGATGAGCTTGAAAATGATGGGTCAGGACAATGCAAGACTGTGAGCAAGCAGTTTGCTGTGGGTCTGTCAATAGCAGAGATGGTCTGATCAAACACTTCCTTTGTGCAGACCCGTTCCCTTGGAGCTGGGCTGGAGGAGAGGACCTCCAGAGGGTTATGTCTCACTGAAGGCAATGTTGAGAAATGGCAGCCTGGGAATTGATTTACTGGAGAACAGGTTAGAGGGAAATGCTGATTTTTTTTTTCAGGCAGAATTTATTGAGGCTAGTGAATGATCAATTAGCATCTTTTGGCTGAGGGCAGGAGAAATTCAGTTAGAGTTTGTATGAGTGTTAGACCACCCAGGAGCCCTACCTGTGTGCATGTGTGTTGTAAATGCTTGCTTTTCTGGTACCCCATAAAATGCACTGCAAAGACATGCCTGTGTGTCAGTAGAAACCCCCTGCCTGAGCATCACATGCTCCTAGCCAGAAAGGAAAAAAAAAAAAAATTTGCCCTCATTTCTGGGATGGAGGAAGACTGAAGGGGTGTGTGCCACAGATGTGAGCGGGTTTAAGCTGACATTGGTGTTGCTTTGGCACAGGAACATCCAGAAAGGCTTATTCTGGATGTTTTAAGGTTGGAATTGAGGCTTGATTACCCATCACCTGCTCTTACTGTTAGCTGCAACAGCCTCCCTCCAGCTGCCCTGAGATGAGGCATGATAAAGTAAAGCATAAACCAGGAATATAATTTAGAAGCCTTTGATGTGCACATGGGTGTCAGCAAGGACAGGACCTGCTTTTCCCTGCTCGATGTCAGCATTGTACATTTGTGTGCAAGGTGCGCTGAAATAGGCAGTCCTGGAAAATTGATTCCTTCGTATTTTCCGTTTCTCCCCTGAGTGCTTGTTTCTGAGAACATTGCCCTCGAGATTCATGTCCTGTCAGTGGGTCCCTGAGATCCAAATTGCAAAGCAAGGCAGGGTATTGTGGGAGCAAGAGCTACTTCTGGTTGTAAATTTATTTTCTCTTTACAAATGGTGTGTGAGATTGTTAATACCTGCTGTAAAGCTCTATTAAAGTTAAAACTGTTCAATTCATCCATCTTGCAAGCTATCCCAGTTTTAAGGTTGGACTTTTAGAGCCAAGAGATTATTTAACTTCTCATGCTAAGCAGCTCATCTGCTTTTTTATTCTTGGTCACACTGGAACTAACTTTCTCCATTGTTGTCTTGGCAGCCTATTTTCTGAGGCTTCCTATGGCTGTACCTTTCACAAACGTGACAACATCTTTTGGGGGAAGACACACTAAAGGTCCCTCCCCTACCCACTCTACAGATAGAGGCTAGGAGTGTTTTGAGCTGAAGCAATCAGGTGGAAAGTGCATTGGTATCTTATGGTCACAAGACCTGCCAGGGACTTCTTATAGGGGAAGTGTGTTCAGAAGCACAGATGGGAGCTGGTGAGACTGAGATGGGAGTCATAAGGGGTGTGGGAAAGAGCCAAGCGGATGGGAGTGTTTTGGCCTTGAGTCTTGCTTGGCCATGGTGAAGCTGACTCTTGGCATGTGCATTACCAGTGGCAGGAAAGCCTCTGGGAACTGCAGATGCTGATTTAGTAGAGAGGACATAAATAAAGAATGCTATCTTGACTGAGTTAAGGAGGTAATCAAAGAGAGATAACAAGTAGTTTGATGACTGCCTCATTAGCAGCTATCTGCTTTCCTGTGGCCTGTTTGCCTGCTGCTCCTGTAGGTATCACAGAGGAGATTACTGCTGAGCAAGCTTTAAGTGGTTTGAGCCCAGCCTGAGATCATTAGCTGGTAATTGTAGGCATTTGTTTATCCCGTGCACATGCAGCTGCTGGCAACAAAATGCAAACCTTGCTGCGTTTGCAGGAGTGGACCTGGGTGCTGCCAGCCCCCATCATCCTCCTGCCACTGGGTGCAGTATTAATCTCTGTGCTCAGTCTGGTGCTCCCTTTGCTGAGGGATTTCTTTCCTTTGCTGTCTCCACTCCCTCTGTTGGGCCCTTGTCCCAAGTGCAGCATGAGCTGGAGGAGCAGACTTCTTTATTGTCTCATTTTAGCTGTCTTCTGCATTGTTTCCAATGTTGTCATTCCTCAGACTGAAGGAAAGCAACTTAAAGTCAGTTGTTTGTAAGGCATATGACAGAGGGATGAATGTTTCCAGTGACTCTGATGGGCTTGTGGTTTGAGTTGGTTATTATCCAGGCAGCATCTCTCTTAGGGACCCCAGACCCCAAGACCTGGTCCTGCAGAAATTCCAGCTTGCAACTCCTCATGCTAGAAACAAGAGACACTAGTGGGATGGCAAAATTACATATTTTAATCACCTGCTGAGCATCATGTCAGTCTCTAGTTGGTGCTGCCCAGGTGGAGAGGCCTGTCAGGTGTTCCCTGAGCCATAGCAGAACTTACCCAACATGCAGCCAGAAATCCTGCTGCTGACTTAGTGTCTGATCTACTCTGCATCTTTATGGAACCAGTATCCTGGAGTATGCAGAGATGCAGTCCCTGGCCTTGGAAACTGTCTGAGGTCCTGTTGAATTTGGCTGGATCCAGTTTGGCTTAAATCCTCCACTGTGAGATACCCATCTGTTCAGTGTCTTCCTGGGCTGTGTCATGAGTTTGTCAGATTGAGCAGGGAGCTGGTGAGCTCCTGCCTCAGGGCTGGGTTCGTTTCAGTGATGAAAAATAACCTAAAGGTTTATTCTTGAGGATAAGAATTGCTGTATCATGGAGGGGAAGAGTTCAACACAGTACAGAAACACTTTAAAAAACCCTAATGCAAATCAGGGAGTAAAGTTAAAAATATAATGAACCATATCTGATAGATAAAATCAATAAACTAGAGGTTAAATATAATTTGACTCATGCCTTGTCTTCACACTTCTGTACCTTAGCTTCTTTGATTATCTATATATAAGAGGTGACATTGGAGAGCATGGATTTATCATGAAGATTTGTCATGGAAGATGAAGGAGCTGTCTGGCACTTGTGGGTTTCATATCAAGTTGCACTTCTGGCAGACACCAGTGGAGCATTTAAAGATCACATTGTAGAGCAGAGTAGTAAGTTGCTATAAGGATGGGCAGAGGTTGGTCTGTGATACAGGTACTCTGAATAGAGAATAGCTGGATTGTAAGATCTCTGGACCACAACACATGCAGGTACAAA